CTTTTGAGGGTGGCAAAAAGGAGGATCAGGGCTGTGGTGTGTGATTGCCACAGCCCCAATCCGCCACTCCCAGGGGTAGCTCAGAGCTGCCCCAAATGGACCGTCTGTATCAGCCTTAAGTAGCCAATGTAGAATATTGGCAATACTTAATAAGAGACAACTTTTTCATTTAGAAAAGCAAAATCTGGCAGTGGCAGCTGATGGCTTCCATGTTGATAGATCAGTGAATGCATTCCAGATTTTAGTTTAAACTTTAAAGCTGATCCATATCCCCAAACAGATCTACTACACTGGAGATATACATTAACATTAAAGTTTGAATTAAAATCTGGAATGCTTTGACTGATCAACTAACATGGGAGCCACCAGTTGCCACTCCTTATGTCAATTCTTGTTTTTCCCAAGAAAAAAGTTGCCTCTTACTAAGTATTGCCAATATTCTACACTGGCTACTTAATTATGTATGTGCAACTTAGGGGTGTTGCAGACCGGCCTAAAGGGCCAACCTGGGGGTGGAGTTGGGGCAGGGCAGATGTGCACTGGTTGCCCCAAATCCATACTGATGCTGTCCTGATTCTGTGTACCCATTTGCATGGTGTATGGCATCAGGATGCCCTCCTGGCACAGCGTGTAGACATGCTGCGCTGAAAGTGTGTGGAAGAGCCATGGCGCTGGCTCTTAAGGTGGCAAAAGGGACGATTAGGGCTGCAGCATGGGAGTGCCACAGCCCTGATCCACTACTAACAGGGGTGGCCCAGAACTGCCTGAAATGGGCCATCTGTAGAGGCCCTAAGTAACATTTCCTGGACTGACACCCTTCTAGCCCACTTTAACAGCTAGCAGCTGAGTTGAGCAAGGAGAAGGGGTTCAGCTGGTTATGAAGACACAGGCTGCATCCACACTGCAGAAATAACCTGGTTTGACACCACTTTAACACCACTTTAACGGTCCTGGTTCAATGTTATGGAATTCTGGGAACTGAAGTTTGTTGTGGCACTGCTCTGGAGCCACAAAAGATTTTTCCAGCCTCCTCCCAATAATGAACAAAGCTGTGAT